TGGTTTGTTAATAGCATCACTAATGATACGTAATAAGAATTGCAATGGGTAATGCACATTATTCTAAATTCTAGCAAAACCCAAGAACCACAGAAAACTTGTAACGTTAACACACGTTCCTTCAGTACGCACTCCCGTTTTACAAGTGTAATAAAAGCTTGCAAGAGGCTTGTTATCGATATGACCGTTTGGCACTTACGTTATCAAAAGTTGATATCTAGTCCCATTCCTAAATCTAGAGAAAAGCCGGACTCTCATAAGCCCAGGTTCAGGTAACTCATCTGAAAACCGATAAAGTGATGAAATTACTTACGTTATAAATTTACGGATGTAACGAAAGAAACATTTTTCTTGGAGCGTCATTTCAAACAGGTTACGTAATTATTTGTCACCAGACGCTACATAACATTTCAACTTCAAAAACATCATTTACCTTTTTCTGTAATTTATCTTAAATATAATATGGTGACAGTTCTATTTGAAAGCATCTAGTTGTATACTCATGTAAATCTTCTATTGTTATAACTAAGAAGTCACGCAACTGTCCTTCGTCAAGTAATGTCTATCTGTATGATGTATAAATACAAGCATTTTTATATTTACTCATTAAGGGGGCTCCTTCGCGAAAGTCCCCAAACAGAGATATATTATTTCTTGTAAATAAAAGTCTACTGAATTTAATGGTGGTCTAAATTATATTCCGAATGGGTCAAAATTTTGAGAAATCCGAGCTCAAAGTTGTAACTATTAGCACGTGTTCCTATGGGGCAGCGTGAAAAACAATTTGTTTTCGTTTATAATAAACCTAAATTAAAAGTCCCAGCAGACTGAATATATACGTTTTGTAGATGAAGTCTTCCTCTGTAATATGCTGTATTAAAAATTGTGGATAAAGGACCATTTTAGCGAGATATTTGTGATAGAAATAAATAAATAGTGTCTGGGAGGTCAGGAGGTCACGTGGGTAGCAGACGTACTTGTTCACGACATATATATACCATATACCTATATATTACATCGCTATACTACACCAACACAGGTGGTCTGGTCTGGTGGTGTACCCTCCTATGCACTAGACTGGTCAAAACAATATTTAATTTTTCGTACAAAGTTAAACTGCACACATAAATATCATTTTTCCCACTTCATACGTTATTAAAAATATCATAATGATTTTCAGACACATTTGTTTATTGAAAAACAAAACTTTATTTTTTGTTTGTCTTTGACCTCAGCAGTAGTCGTAGGAGCCCCCTTAAGGGCGAGCGAGACAGAAAAATTAAAAGATGTTTCTCATTTTCATTGAAAAATAATAATTCAATTTTTATCTCTTAGCTTCTTGAGAAAGTTTATCTCACCATGAGTGAGAAAGATTTTAGTTATTGTAAACCATAAACTTTGATAATTGTATTATTAATCAATGAAAATGTAGACGACCAAGACTCTCAAAGATTGGTTGTGATTTCTTGTTATTTAGACTGTTTTATATACAGTGTGTTTACTGTGATTCGTAAGCAATAAATTCAAAAATTTCTAATCAGAATCATGATCTCTTAGAAATAACGAATCACAGGATGTCTTAATCTAGAAGTTTGAATTTTTTCGTTTTGCGAATTAAAGTGAACTGACTGTACATGTTATATCATTATTAGTATACAAGCTTCAGTATTTATTATAAATTCTGTAGAGAAAAATATCTGAACAAGTTGCTCACGTGCAATAGAGCATTACCCTTTTAAACACTATAAGAATAGCGCTCCAGCTATTCTAGTGAACCTCTATTTCATTATAGGCGCGTGCGTTACCCGAAACGGCGAACAGTGTTGTTGCAGTGGCAAGCTGCTTGGCCAGCTTGCAAAGTTTTCTGAGTTTTGAACGCATAGCTTGCCTGGAATGAGAGTGTGGCCGTATGAAGCTAAAGACAGTGCCACCGTCCGTCCCACCCGTGGTTGAGCTACTAGCCATAATGTTTTTCATTGTAGTTGTAGTATATAGAAATGTATTAATTGTCATATGTCTCTCAACAAGAAATCTTGATTTTATTTGGAGCAATTTTTCTTACATAGTTAATACACTTTGAAAAAAAGGAACCTATCTAATAATTTAATATTTTTGAAACTATTTGGATTAATGCCCACTTATTCGCATTTCTCGCTGCAAAATTGTTTCTCTCTTTTTTTTTTTGTAGTATATTTTCTTGTAAAGTTTATGCTTGCATTCTTTGAGCCAAAGCTGTATCAGCGTTTTTCATGTGGATCAAATGATAAAATCTATCTAGGTTAATAATTATTTATTTATAATAAGGTCTTTTTATGTTAAAAATACGTGGTTCACATAATTGTAACCTGTTAATGATGGTGCCACCTAAACGATAATAATCTCCGACGTTCGGAAAAACTTGGATCTGCTGCATGTTGCCCAATACCTTAAACTTCGACTTGAAATGTCCATTCATAGCTTCTACTATCAATCTTGTCTTTGTTATAACGTGAGACCTATGAGCGTCTTCCATTGTCAATTAGTGTTGTCCCGATTCAAGCAATAGAGGCACCCTACAACACGTCTGTGAAGTTGGCACGTCATTCTTTAACAACAGCTTTCTGATTAGCACAGGAATTTGCAGTTTTTTTGCATTTAATTTGCAGTTTAAATCCCAATTTTGCAGTTGTTTATTAAAACAATATCAACTAAGGCACTGCCAACTTTACAGGAAGTTAGCAGTCCACTTACCTCTACAACGACAATCATGCCGACTGAAAAATTCTGCGTGGGCTAGAAATTTGCAGTTTTTTTTGCATTTCTCTGAATAGCCCGATGCCGATTTTGATATTCCTTTATTTAAACAATGAAAAGTTACCTATTCTGAACGTGAGTCACGAAGCATATACGCACACGTGCAGCAGCGGCATAGTGTGCAATGACGTATTTATTTCTGATGAGCTGCTTGCGTATCACGATAAAATGACAGAAATAGGCTAGTCTATTACTTATATAACACTAATATTATTTTTTCCTGCATTTTGTTTAATTACAGCACTCGCAAGATATGTGACGTAATCCCTCTCTCCTCTCGACTGACTATGTATACGAACACTCCGCCTGCTTCTGTCAACTTACTTCAACAAAAATTGGTGACTTTCATTGCTTGTTCTCTTAAAAGCAAGAGTTCTTATGAACTTGCGCCCATTACGACTTTTGTTCAAGACGTTTTAAACTACAACTTTACATAGAACCCAGCCAATTTCATCGGGACCTAAAATCCCATCTGCTTGATGTGGGGCTCTTTTAACACTATAAACAAAAAGTTTTTTGTGATTTAAACTTGTTTTTTTTTTAAATATTGAAATTTTAAGTAATTTTTAAATTAAATAAATAATCACAATGCCATCAACTTTTTGTACAGAGAAACGCAACGAACTTCTTATGATAGTTCACAATTGCTTATACGTTTAAAAAAAAATGCTGCTGACACGATGCTATTAATAAATGCTGTAAGCAGATGACCATTTATTTTTTTTCAATAATTATTTAATTTGGTAATTCAAAATTTTTTTGTAAAAATAATATTAAACAAACAATACTGTGTCAAATATATCATAAAATGAACATTTTGAAAATTTTCTTTTTACAGGTATGCTCATTTGTACATTAATAAATACAATTTATGACTTACCTATTGTTACATTCATTGACGGAAAAGTACTTTTTGTTTATTAAAATATAGATCCATACAATTTATACATGTATACATTATGAATTAATATATAATAACTGTATTATGCCTGCCAATCGGACCACCTTTATCCCCCGTCGTCTAACACCCCTTCCCCCACCACGATATCTTTGCCAGCTACAAGTCTGGAGGTACCTAAAAAGCCAATCAAACTGTATTAAAAAGTATCGCACAACTGCACCCCACTTTAAGTTCCAGAATCGACTTGGCTGGAGGGTGACATGTAGGTGGTGAAGAAAAGAGCAATAAATATGGATATTCTACATAACTAAAAATTAAACAATATAATCGATCAATCTTCGACTAGCTTTGACAACAGCTCAGATTCCAATATTGACAACTGTCATTCTACGCCCAGAACCATCAGCACAGTATCCTTATCGTTGTTCGGTCTTAGCAGCTAACTTCATACCTCTAGGGGTGACATAAGCTTCCCTTGACTCTCGCACTAAATTCGCTCATGCTAAGAAACATCTTAAACAAATATCGCCCGAAGGGTGGGACATTAGTATGCTTATACCCAAGGTTTCAACAAGGTTTTTACTTCCGATACGCTAAGTTCTACCTTGTGCCCGTAAGCGCAAAAACTATGCGCCTATGGTACGAAAAATAGTGTAATTTAATTTCTCCTTACAGTACGTTTTATCCCTTTAAGCGAATACTATTTCCTCAAACAAAAACTTTCGCTTAAAATATTAATGATAGAAAAATCCTTCAATTTACTTACTTACCATGTACTTTGAAGTCCTACTATCATTTTAAAGTTACGTTAGTTCGATATTTTTTGCTAAGTTTTTGTATAAGTATTCAAACGAATGCTTATATGGCAGGTAACAGCAAGATGGCCGAAGCTGTAGAAACTGTGCGCAACTGACTGATTGGCTGAAACGTTCGTGCTGACCCACAACCTAGCTGACTGAGCTACCGCGTGCTCTATATATCTATACACTATAGCGCTTATGCTAGATGAAGGGAAACTAGTTAGTGTTCAATGGCACACATTACATATTTTGATAAAATATTATTTTACTTTTATAATATAAATTGTTTCATGTCATAATACACAATGCTAAATTGTTTATTTGTATATTAAAAAATGTAGTTACATATATCATGACGTTTGAGATGAATATAACTGTTTATTCGTCATAAAAAAATGCGTAGTAAATATACAACAAAAGGAAGCTTATTCCTATCGTGTGCCCTCAGGCACCAACATGTTCTATTTTTATTAACGAAGAATCTTTTACTTTTTTTTTTTTTTTAGATCTCCAGAGCAGTGCCCCAGTGTAGTTTCTCTTCTTGCTGAAAGCTATAATCCGCACGTTCGGTATGGTGCTGCTATGGCTCTTGGTATAGCTTGTGCAGGGACTGGCTTAAAAGAAGCAATAAATTTACTTGATCCCATGACAAATGATCCTGTTAATTTCGTACGTCAAGGAGCATTGATTGCTTCCTCGTTAATTTTAATTCAACAAACAGAAGCTACTTGTAATAGAGTAAAAGATTTTCGATCATTGTATGCAAAAGTAATAATTGATAAACACGAAGATCACATGGCTAAGTTTGGAGCTATCTTAGCTCAAGGAATAATCGATGCAGGTAAGATTCGTTGTGAATACGTCCAAACATTTATTAAAAATAAAATAATCGTTTTATAAAAATAAGAGTGCATTATATAAGGTCCATTTAGAATTAAGTTGTGCTAATTATTAAACTGCTTTTTTGCTACGAAAAAGCATTAAACAGTTTATGACTATCAGAATAGAATAGAATTTTCTACACATAAAACAAAACGTTATAATGTTGTCGATGGCATGAATAAGTCGAATAAAATTAGAGATCTTGTTACTGACTTTCATGATATATAAACATTGTTTTAATTAACTCTACTGAAGAAAGTGTCCCTGCTTTTACAGTACACAAGTACTTCTTTTGGTCGAAGCAGACTGAGAACAACGTTTTTAGTATTTTTTTCCAGTTCATTACATTTTTTTTCATACAAGTCATAAGGATAACGTGTTTTAGGTAGTAGAACACTATTATTAAATATTTTCTAACCCATACAATTTGAACTTTGACTGTACAACATGTTTACGTTAAACTTTTTTACGTGCTTCAGGAATCATTGCTGTATTATTTATCAACGCTATCCATGCAGTAACTTTTTTTTCTTTACTCACATTATGACAACAACCATTAGGCACAAAAATTATGGGTGCCTTGTGTTTTAGAGGTATCGTTGTTTTCTCACCTGAGAAGAAACAAAACTTGAGAAATTTTATTATTGATACAAAGCGACAACTGTAATAAAATGTTTTGAAATTTATGCATTTAACAAAAAAGCTGCAAGGAACATTTTTGGCTGAAAAGTAATAAACTTACCTTTTTTTGTTAAAAGTTAAAATACATTTCTTATTTCATTATCAATGAAAACAAGTCATGAGAATGCATCGAGTCACGATGAACCAAATTATTCCTGTTTAATGTACGAAAGCCTTGGTACAGATACGTTCATCAATATACACGAAACAACAGCATCATATTTTGTATCTAAACTATGTGCCCAGAGAGTTTGCAAGTTTAGCTCAGAGGATGTCAATAAAAAGAGCCTCCAGTCAATGGCATTAGAGCATTCCAGAACAGAAAGTAATATCGTACATACAGTGCCATGTTTAGAAAAGGCTTATTCTTTCTATTTTTAACTATATACTTTTCTCTCTAGCACCCTTTAAGCTGAGCTTGCTGAATAGATAGTTCTATACATACTTATGTGTACTTCATTCTTTGATAATTTTAAACTATTCTGAGTACAAAATAAGCACCTTAATTTTTGTTAAACACTAAAGTGTTAGATTCAAAGCAAAAGCCCAGTACTACTTACCACTAAAAAGTTAAATATTATGTATTATAAAATTTATGACGTAAATACCTGTCTATAAGTTTATTGAGACGCTGCCGAATGCAAAAATATAAAAATTGCCTATGACCGTACGTATCTTTAATGTTAATTTATTACCTCACATATGGATGATTACATTAATACTATAAGTAATTGATAAAAATCTTGTGTTCCGTGTATAAAAGGCTGTAGTTACGTTGACTAAATGAGTATTAAATGTAACGTTGTTTGATTGTCAAAAAATGGTAAATGAAGTAATGATTTTTAACCATTTGCTTACAAAATTAAAGAAAAACGTACAAGAACTCTGAAATCTTCAAGAAAGAGCGAACTTCATATTTATGAGGAATATTGTATTATATAATGTAAGAGATATTAATATTTTAAAAAGTTATTTTATTTTATGGATGTTCTATTTAAAGAAAGACTTGAAATGACTTAAAAAATGCATCTCTCAATGTTTCTACGATATGTTATGATTGTACTTAATTTGTGACTCACTGTATGTTATTTGTTATTTTAAGTTTAGATGAGCTAATATATCTATTATAAGCAATCTTAAAAATCCTTGTATACCATTAAGCATTAGACCTGAATCGTTCTTTTTAAGTGATATAGTTAAATCTGAATTTTATAAAAATTGATAAGATAGATAAAACTGAGACCCAATTTTCATAGTACTTTTTTCAGAATTTTGTAAATACATGATAAAATGTGCTTAAAGTAAATAGTTTTTACCTGTGTTACGTATAATTATAAGGATTCAGGGTGCTCACAAAATAACCACAAGGAGCTTAAATAAAGCAGTTTATTACATAAAAAACGAAAAAAAAGGCGCGTTGTGCGTAGCTGTTCGAAGCCTTTAATCATTCTCTCTATCTTTAACAGCGCGTTTTAGACGGCCCTCACCTTCTTCCCAAAACTTCTTCTCTCATTAGCTCCTGTCGTTCTAGTAGGGATAGGAGAACACGCATGCATAGCTGTGCTATCGTACATGGCATGTCCGAGGCCACGCCACTGTTGTTCTTGACAGCATTATAGTTTTCTTGTTTTTTTTTTTTTTTTTTCAAATGAGACGGTTTTATGATTGTGTCAGTTTGTTTGCGTTGTTTAAGAGTGTCTTATATAGAATTTAAAAGTGGATAGCATCCTCCCTAGTTACTCCTTCACATGATTTACCAAAACTGCTTCTTCTGCAATAGTATACATTAGTATGTATACTATTATCTATTATATTTCTATGTATACTATAGTATGCAATAATACATTATCTGTTTGCCTTCACACTCTTTTTTATAATATAATGAAGTAATGTACATTTTTTTTTTTTTTTTTTTTATGAAAGATCGTCATGAAATTAATTATAGAAACAAAATGTCTATTTAGTTCCTTTTTTTATGTATTAGCACTGTCACCAGTGCAGCCGTATTATTATAACTTTTACTTTAGTAAATTTTTTCAAGGATTATTCATTTTTTTTAATGTGCTCTGATAGTTCTTAAAAAAAATTTTTCGTTTATTAAGTAACGCATTTGTTTATCTTTTTACTCATGTATGTATACGAATATGAATTTTTTATTTAAAAAAGCACATTTTTTTTCTTGTACGCGTAATTATTGTATATACACAAGTCTTGGGTTTTTGTAATTTCTTTAACTAAAAAAATTTTATTTACTTGATTACTATGCTAATACCTGTTGTTAGTTTTTGTAGCCTGACTGATATTCTCGTGGCTAATCACTCCGCATTCAGAAGATTATTAATTGCAGTGCTTTAGCATCCACTGCGTTTCTGTCTCTTGTAATATCATTTCTGCCTCTTATACCTGCAAAGATTTTAGATAAATTGAGTATTATTAGGACTCCTACTTAAAAATGGCACCTTAAGAAAAAAAGTTGTAGTAGGGAAAGATAATGTGCGTTAAGTAACTGTACTGAATCTTTGCACCCAACTTAGCGGGGTCAAAATGATCTGCATACGAATTATTTTTATTGAGTTTCTTCATCAGGTGATGTTATTTGACAAACCTACACATCTCATTGCTTAACTGATATTCAATCATATGTAAGAATGTTGCTTCTTTTGCCACATATTAATGAATAATGCCTTCCTAACTATTTTAAACAATTAGTTTTCTTATTTGGGACTGTGTTTATTTTTGTAAAGAGAATTCATAGGCAGTCCTGAAGAATTTTCAGTTAATTTTTCTTTCTTAGATAGTACGTAAATGGTTGATTCCTTTTTGTTTTTTTCTCTTGTTTAAACAGGATCGTTGATCGTCGATTGTTGACAATTTTTGCTTTCTTGATCTCCTTATACATCATAATTTATAAAGCTGTTTTTTTGCGCTGGTGTGTGTGTTTTTTGCCATGGTAGGGCTGACATTTGCCAATGATGGGGTTTGCTATTTTAGAAGCGCGTTTGCTCAATTATTCTGACAATTTATAGCTAATGATTACTGTTGGTTTTTTGGTCTTTTATTGCAAGTGCGTCTGCTTTTACAAAAGCATCTGACTTTTGTTACATAAAACAGATTTATTGTTTCAATAAGTACTGTTTTTTTATTTCATACAGATACGTATGTATTGTGGACAGGGGACGAGGGATATTCAAAAGTACTTAAGGAGCGGGAATCGGCGTGTAGAACAGCTTTTTCTGAGTCAAAATCCGTTCACAGAATAATTTTTTGACAATTATTTTTTAAGTGAATGAATTGACAAAAATGCTCAATTTCTGCGTGCTTAGAACTCAATTTTCAATGGCGATACTAAATAGGCACTTACGCAGTAGCATTTGGGCGGTACTTACGTAGCATTGAATCAGTGGCACCTAGGCGGTACTTGAGCAGAACTTTAGTGGTACTTGGGTGGTACTTTGGCGGAATTTAGGAAGCAGTGCTTAAGCGACATTTAGACAGCGGTACTTGAGCAGTACTTGGATAGTACTTCGGTGACACATAAGCAGTACTTGGGCAGCACTGAATCAGTGGCGCTAGTAGTAGTGGCTGGCAGTACTTGGATGACATTTGGGTAGTTCTTACGTGGCATTTTAACAGTGGCACGTCGATGGTATTTGAGCGGAACTTCGGTGGCACTTGGGCGGTTCTTAGGCAGTATTCGGGAGGTATTTGGGCATTATTAAAGCATCGGCATTTGGGCAGCACTTCTGTGGTATTTTGACGGCACTTAGGCAGTACTTAAGCGGTACTTTAGTGGCACTTGGGTGGTATTCGAACGGCATTTAAGCAGTGCCAATTGGGTGGCAATTTGGCGGCACTTAGTCGTTACTTTAGTGGTACTTTGGTGGCACCTTGGCGGCTTTTGGGCACCGGTACTTTGGCGGCACTTGAGCAGCCTTTATTATGTGAAACAAATTTTTTAAGTTATACTTGTATTAGCGTGGTATGCATGAGAGTCAGCCAACGACTTCAAATTTCTGACTTTGAGAAAATGTATGACGGAAGTGGATTTCGCATGTTTCTCTCTCTTCGCTTCACGTCCCTTGCTAACTAGCCCACACTAGTGACCTTTACACTGTGCGACACAACGCTAACATAGTAGACAGTTTAAATTTTACTGATTTTTATTTCTTCGTCTTATCTAATGTAAAAAAAAAAGAAAAAAAAAAAAACTTACCATAAGTCTTGAACCCGTGATCTCCTGCACACAAAGCAAGGCCCTTACCTACTCTTATATGAGCG